TGTGTGTGTGTGTGTGTATATATATATATATATATATATATATATATGTAATTTTAACTTTTTTCTTATTATGTTTTTTCCCCCACTGGGATGTAAGAATATAAGCTGCAGCTATTTATGAATGCTTTTTTCTCTGTGGTTCTCCTAATGCGTAGACCTGTATCTGTCATACAGTAGGGACTCAGTGATATTTGTTGAATGAGTGGGCTATAAAACAAATACAGATGGCCCTTGAACAACACAGGTTTGAACTGTGCGGGTCCACTTATACATGGAAGTTTTTCAATAAATACTGTAAATGTATTTTCTCTTTCTTAGGATTTTCTTTTCTCTAGCTTACTTTATTGTAAGAATACAGTATATAATACATATACAAAATATGTGTTAATTGACTGTTTATGTAACCAGTAAGGTCAACAGTAAGCTATTAGTAGTTAAGTGTTGGGGTGTCAAATGTTACACACAGATTTTCGATTGTGCATAGGGCTGACATCTCTAACCCCCCTGCTGTTCAAAGTCAGCTGTATGGAGAAGATAGCGCAGGGGTTTGATACTGAATGTGTGTGGTGAGGTGGGTGGAGGTAGAGTTTAGGGCCAAAAAGTCGCTGGGACCAAAATGTTAGCGACTCATCCATATGATTCATGTGCTTAAAGTTATTGACAGAGACCATAAATGGATCACCGTTTTGTTTAGTTAATTAACGTTTGCCTCTATGGACATTATTTTGTGTATAAAGGAGTTTATGAGCCTTTAAAGAAGGGCGAGGTTAGAACGCTGTTCCATCATGAGTTACAGAAAGAGAGTTCTGGAATATTGCTACAGGACAAGGTTACTAGTAAGGATTTAAAAAGAAAAAAAAAAGAAAAAGAAAAAAAAGTCGTGTCAAACATTTGAGAGTTCCACGCCAGAGGCTGACTATAACAGAAAAGAGATAAAATCCACCTAATTTAATTAATGGACCTTTAATTAGGAGAAGGTAAATCTGCAGGTCTGGATAGAAATGACAAATCAGTTTGTTGTTGGAACTGTATGAGACAGTGACGGAATCACTGAAGCACCTTGCAGCTTCTTTGCTGGATCGGAGGCGCTAAAGAAAGCCAGTTCTGGTCAGGCCGAAGGTCAAACGACAGAAATAATTGTCCTGAAGAAAATACATTAGCATCGGGACACCATCACTGAACTTGTTTTAATCGATTTAAGGGCATACTTACTGGAAAGCATTCTGCTATAGACACATGTTACGGATAAAAGGAAAGCATTGCTTACAGGAAAGAAGTGTCCCAAGTCTGTCAGGATGGTCATGGCAGAGCCAGATCTTGAACTAAAGTGGTTTCCAGAAGTTCCTAGACCATGTGTTTGCATTCTATTTATCTTCTGTTACCGTATTTCCCCATGTATAAGATGTTCCCATGTATAAGACGCACCTTAATTTTGGGGCCTGAAATTTGAAAAAAAATGTATTACATAAAGTTATTGAACTCAAGTTTTATTCATCATAAAATTCATGCAACTGCTCGTCACTGTCAAAACTCCCAGCCATTAGCTTGTCCTCACCTGTGTCTGATGACGAATCACTGTCTTCATAGATTGCCTCGTCCTCAGTTCCATCTATGGCATTTGAAATCCACAACCACTGAATAAGACGCACCCAGTTTTCAGACCCCAAATTTTTCAAAAATAGGCACGTCTTATACATGGGGAAATACAGTAATTCATTCTATTCAGCTAATATTTTTGAAGGCCGACTATGTGCCCATCACTGTTCTAAGCACTGTGCATACGGCATTGAAAACAATTCCTGCCCTCTAATTAAAGTATGCGCTACGTCAGATGGAGATAAATGCTCTGGAGAAAAGCAAAGCAGGGCAGGGAGATAGAAAGCAGCCGTGCGTGCGTGCTGCGTGCGTGCTGCGTGCGTGCTGCGTGCGTGCTGCGTGCGTGCTGCGTGCGTGCTGCGTGCGTGCTGCGTGCGTGCTGCGTGCGTGCTGCGTGC